TGTGTAGAAAGTTTTCACGGCAGAGGGTGCTTTCTTTGACTTCTTTAGAAGAGTGAGTAAACTCTAAAGAACTCGATCGTGCCCATTCAAACAATGCTACATTTCTTCTTGATCAACAAAACACGATGTAGCTATTAACCGTGCTCGTATCGATCGAAATTGGTTTGTAGAGTATGAAAACGATTTCGAACATCATTTATCACCGCAATCATTGGCTCCCATTTCCAAGTGAGGGCTGTGGGAATAAATTTGAGCTTCACATTCATACCTCAAATACAACACTGTTGAAATACGTTGACGACGTCGCATTTTTAGTAGGAACTAATTTAAAAAAAGTTTGTGATGTAATTCACATAGCGTATAGTGTTTTAATGTTCAATATTTAACCTTATTTCCTTTTATGACATTATTTATAACGTTGTCTGATTTCAACGTTATTAAAGAGAAATTATATAAGTTATTTAAAAAAAGATAAATATCTGTCATGAAATATGAATAAGAAAGACTTGGTAGAGATTTTTAGTCAGTGTTTAAGTTTCACTATCTCACTGCGTATAGTTGACAGAAACAGTTGTATTTTTTATGAACTTAAGTTACTATATGAACCATACTATATATATATATTATTACTGTAAAATGCAAAATTCTTAATGTTCATAATGTTTAAAAATAATGTTTTCTGTTTCTTTCATTTATAAAACATTTAACTAAACGGCACCTTTAATTTGTTTAAAATATGAAGACTGTATATGTACATACACATATAGTTCTTTATTACATCTCTAGTCTGGTTGGCTTTTTTATTAGAACCCCCCACACTTGTTATCGGGTTGGATCACTTTTTAGCGAGCTAACAGCATTAACTTATGTGATTCAAATTTTTTTTATGCCTGAAGGTGTTTTGTTCGATTTTAGCCATTAACGGAGATTGCAAATAGTTCACAGGTATCAGCATCTTATATAAAGCACAAAAATGTGTCTGTCTGTCTGTTTGTTCGTTATCTAGCTACTCCTAGGACACTGGGCCAACCTCAACTAAGTTTTGTGGGATGATAGTTTGGAACAAGGGGCATGTTATTTGGGGGTTCACATCACCCTCTAACCCCATTATTACTGTTATTGTGCATTATTATTTTTGATGTAAGTTAACGTTAACTAGATTCATAGATGGTGCCACGTACTTTCAATAAAAAGTTATTAAATTTTCTGTAACACAGCTAACACACAGTGTGAGGGGAGGGCACAAAAACGTCTTAAATATCTCAGAGTGCGCTAGCACTCTTTATGGAGGAACGAAATGAAAAAATGGCCACCACTATTGCAATAATACATAAAATCAGCTGAAGTTTCTACTCCAACATCCACAATAAGCCTGATAGGAAGAGCCGTTTCTTAAGTTATACCCACTTCCTACTTTGACCCGTGATCTTTCAACTTCGACCCGTAAGACACTTCTGCGGCCAATGACCGTCAATTAGTTAATCACTTGAAACACTGTGGGGGGACATTTAGAGCTGGGTGTTGAAAGCGGGTAACAGAAAACACCCCTACCGCCACTACTTTTCCGCTACCTCTTCCTAGAAAGTTACCATGACTATCGCACAGGGTATACCATATTTTAAGAATACACCTATTGAGTTCTTAAAGCGTATACAAAACTTTTGGAGAGGTAATATTGAATACTGTGATGAAAAGTTATGTTACAAATAAACTGTGTGAAAGCTAGGATTTTTGTGTTATTTATCATAGCATTCACTCTCACATTTTTTTAAAGTTCATAACACTGACAAATAACGGGTACCTCAGCTTGTATGATTATAATTGCGCAAAAACGGAGATCTGCCAACATTTGAAAAGAGCTATGTAATTTTGCTTACTTAATACTTCCATTTATTTTTAAATGTTTCTTAGTTGTAAGTTTTGAAACTTTACGATACAAAAGTTTGAATGAACTCTGCCTTACTTGAAACAATATTTAGCTCATTATGTAGAAGAAAGTGTTTGGATGTGTTTTTTTTTCTTATACCAAAGCTACATCAGTCTATCTGCTGTGTCCACCGAGGCTAATCGAACCCCTGATGTTAACATTGTAAATCTGTAAACTTATCGCTGTCCAACCGGGAGTCACAGTAGAATGAATTTAAATAAAATACTTGAGTAAAAAAAAGAGATTGCTGAACATGTGTGTTTAAAAATATATCTACTTGTAATTTAGATGGTTTGATTGGCAAAAATTTAAGAATAAGAAATATATACAGTACTTGTAATTATAAACCAAACTTAACAAACCTTCATCTTATATAAGACAGATCCAAAATCCCACCTTCTGCGAGTTTAAACCCTTCGTCGCATTTCAAATTCAAGTTTTCAGAAAATTAGATAATATATAAAAAACATTATCTCATTTTTTCATAGCTGCAAGACAGAACAGGAAGAGCATGTCATTAATATGAACCGGAAAAAAGGTTGTCTCAGTGATTCGGTAGTTCTTCATGTTTGGAAATTTCAAAACATCCCCCCCCCCCTCTCTCTCTCTATATATATATATATACATATATATACATATATACAGTAGGGCGTA